CAGGTCAAGATCATGTGGGTTATAGGACATGCCACGGCAAAGGCAGGTCGGTTCATCGGATCTAAACGTCGTGCCCCTCTGTTTCACATGACTTATTGTACTTGCGTGTGTTACTCATGTTATAAATGGCATCTATGGCCTGATAAAGATCAGACACCCTTTCTTTTTTCTCGCGCTTTATCATGTTTCCCGCACCACTGTGTCTCTCCGGGGAAATTTGCATGCATCAGCGATGAGCGGGATTCAGCATCCTCTCCCTGGCGGGAGCCGGCACAAAGCCCGAAGACGGTCGGTGCCGGCGCGGTTTATCCTCCGCAGCGGAGGATTCTGATATGCACGTGACGGCCTCCTCTCTCCTATATCTCACAACCCTGAGAGGGTCATTGTCAGGCTTATATATGCCGGGCAGACGAAGCTCAGTAGATAAAATGCTGTACACGTCTAGAAAAACACCAGGTGCGCAATGAAGGCTGACTTTTTAGTTTACAGTACATATTTGGTGGCGGGTAATTGCAGGAAGCCTGGCGCTGAAGCTACATAGACAAATATATTTGAAATTTACGTAAGTCGTTCGGTGCATTGGCGAGGAACATTATTCACATGTATAAGACATACTACAACAAATTACATACTACAACAAATTAGGTAGGTAGGTAGGTAGGTAAGTAGGTAGACAAAAAAAATACAACAAATTGTGTAGGTAGGTAGACAAATTTTACACCGTCCCGGCTGCTAGTGCGCGGCCTTTTGATTATGAGTCCGGCACGTGACAGACTGAAACGCTGAGACCATTGAGCATGTCGCGAAAACCAGAACGTTCACTGTCTGCTGTGCATTAGGGATTTGGCCTGTTGGGCGGAGGCACCTTGGCCTGTCTAGAGTAAGCATAGTCGATGGATCTGCGCAATATAATCAAACAATCTTTCGTTTGGTACTGGACTCTTCACAATTGGGATGCCACAATTCGTCGCATAGCTCCGTGAAAAGTAGGCCTTGAACAAGTGAACCCCATGGACAAGAGAAGTGCGCCATAGAGCGGCTGTGTATGACGAAATTCGGTGGGGCTGATGGATTGGGCTGTTTCACTGTAATAACAACTTAACCAGACCAAACCAAACAATCCGGACTAAACAAACCCAACCAGGACCTACTCTTATCACAATACGAATATGTTTCTTTCACGGGTGTCTGTTTTGCATATGGAAGAGCATAAGCGGTCGTGTATCACCTCAGTTAAAGAGTACTTTTGTCGCCTTGCGGGTGCATGAGACCACTTTGATGCCAATCATTGTGTTAAATGGCTCCTTGATATTTCCTCAAAATTACAAACCCGTCTTCAATTAAAAAATACCGGATGGAGGGACGATTTGTCCGATCCTGCATTTCGGTGTCGATGGAGGGTGATTATCGTTTACCTTAGTCACCTTGTTTGGACTGTATGCCATTGTTTCGTGCAATATTGCTAATTATGGTCCTTGCAATCATTGGGCTATTTATCATATTGGGTGTCTATATCAGTAAATACCCAGACGCTTTTGGAAGATTTGATGCCGACGTAATGGCGGCATGTTCGCCAGATCCGAATATTAGGCCAAGCATTCAAATCTACGAACGTGGATGCTTAGCTCTAGCCACAATCTAGCTGAATCTTTGTCGTCCAGGCGATCGAAGTTATGAGAGGGGGATACTGTCTCCACCGTCAAGGCAATGCCCAGCTGGCTTCATGCTCACCATGTTCACCGCTGCACTGGATTTGGCTTAAGACGGTCGCGGATGATTCGGGTGGTCTGGACTGAAATGGTGGGTAAGAGTGATGCGGTTCATTGGAGCTGACGAGACGCGCCACGCACGACGTCCACGGCTTATCATGCTGGCGAGGCACTATGCTGATGTTATGAAACGTATCGGATGGCTCATGGCACGCTCCAATGCCATGACAAAAACGTCCGGATTAAGTACAAATTTGGGAATGTTAGGCTTGTCACGTTTGCAGCCCTATGGTATATGCAAAGTAGCCCTAGAGCCTCATGGTATGTCACGTTCGTAGCCATAGTGTATGCAAAATGGCTCTACAGCCCTATGGTATGTCACGTTTGCAGTCCTATGTGAGAGCAAGCATTAAACCCTCATGAGCAACTATTACGCTGGTATTACGCTTGCGATAAACTATTACGCATCAAGGCTCGCCTAATATTGTTATCCATACAAGGAGGAGGGTATGAGCGCACTGGCTACTAAGGCCATTTTATTCATACAAGTCTGACAAGAATAACAACAATATGGCAAAATATATAGCAACAACATAATGAAATACATAGCAACAATATGGCAACATATATAGCAACAATATGGCAACATATATAGCAACAATATGGCAACATATATAGCAACAATACAATGAAATACATAGCAACAATACAATGAAATACATAGCAACAATATGGACAATGATAGCAATCGCGACAATATAAGAGTGTATTGGTGACAAATATGATCGCGTTAAAGTCAGCTCATATTGGGTAGATTCCATCTTGTGCCCGTTTTTAGTCAACATACATGTAATGATGTTCTCACTGAATGGTTTGAGGACTCAGTTGGGGAAGTTAAACTCTCGACGTTAAGTGATGATCCGAGGTTATAATGTTGCATAAAGGCGTAACAATGGACGATATCACCCAACTAATAAGGCCGCATGTGTTATTGAATTCACGCGACAGTCCATGCTCACCTGTTGACAAGCATCCAAAGACAACTAGCCTGCTCGTCGTCTCTTTGCGGTAAGAGAGAGCAAACTAGCATCACGCGTTGTATAGGTGTAATGAGGTGGTTGCAATAGGAAGAGTGCAATTGGATCAGTCTTCGTCAATCATCGACCAGCTTCGCTTCGACCAACCAGCTTGAACGGTCCAACGAATGCGCAGCTCGTTGGGCGGCGATGCTTTGGCTCAGCTGACGACCGACCTAGTTTATGACGCGTACCGAAGCTCAAGAGATCGTATTGCCGCTGAACTGGGATGCTGAGAGTGATGTATTGTTGTTGAAACGGGGTATGATAGCCTACCGTAGTATTTCATTCCCAACTGTACTGAAGAAATAGCTTTGGAGCGGGTGAATGCTCCCTAAATTAATTGTGTTAAAAAATATTTTTGATAACGGTCATCGGGGACCAACAAAGAAGGCTCTCGAAAATAGTCATTTCAAATAACAATTTAAGCTCCTGCAGAAGAATACGGGAAAGGAGAATACCTAGGGTCACAACCTAAGCCGGCCATACCTAATGTAGATACGTACATGTTCGGCCATTTTTTTTCGTCTGAAAATTGTTACTGTCAGTGTAAGTGGTCCAAAGGTCAAGCAAAATACTTTGACTCGTTTTACGACACATTCAGATGTAATCATTTGGCGTCTAAGTTACACGCCGATCTTAGCCTCGCCTGTTTCGCCGTTTTTCATAACGCGGACTGATGCTGGGGTCGATGCGCCCCCTTATGGTGTTTCCAAATGATAACAATAGAGCTTAGTTTACTACGTCAGTGGATTGGTCTTGACATTGTCTCGCGATTGTTACTAGTATTTATGCTGTTAGCTCAATAATTGGTCCCATTTTGTCATGTCCAGTTTCCCAGAAACTCGTACTTTTTCAGCTCGGCATCATGCTTTGGAAACGATGCCTTGTGGCGGCACGAAATCTTAACAGGCGCGTTCCTTGTTCAGTTCCGAATACAACGAGATTACTTTGAGAGGCGGGCCGAGCTCCGCCAACCTCGCCGCTGGTCGCTGCGGACTGTTGACCGTTGTCGTCCCTTCGTCAGCTTCGGCATGAACCACGACGGCCCGGGCAACGGCTGCGACCAGCCTGACGGGCATCAGCAGCACGTCATGGCGCCCAACCTGGTCAACGACGTCACCCCTGTCGTGTGGTCTAAGTGCTCCAGGCGCGAAATCACCAAGTTCCTTGAGTGAGTGCCCGCGCGGCGCGGCGTATTTGCCCGGCGAGCTGTGATGGCTGGCGCTTATATGCGGCGCGAGACACTCACTGCTACGGCCGGCAGGATTTATGGAAGAACGAAGGCCCCACGGGGATGTGCTTTGCGAATAGCGTGTGGGGAGGCCGCGCCATCGGCCCCTGTGGGTGTTTCCTGTAATGGCAGTGTCTCAAGTGCGGGAACGCCCCGGCGATCGATCTCTTCGCCGGGCGACTGTCATCAGCGCGCCACAACCTGAAGCCACAACTCGTGGGCTTCCTTTTCGTGGGCGGCGGTAAGGGGGACGAATTCCGGGAAGCTTCGTGTGACCCTGAAGACAAAGGCAGCGCTGGAGGGCGCAGCGTCTGACTGGCGCTCGCCGCCGGATTCTGGGATGTGCCGCGCTCGCGTTCGATTCTGGGACGTGCACTGGTGGCCGACAGGCCCGCCGCTCTGGTGGTCGACTCCGGACAAAGCCCGTGTTCCGGGTCGAGGCGCGCGTTTGGCAGCGACGCTGCTGGCGGCGCTCGCCCCCTCCCCCGGGCTCCGTCGGGCCGTGACGCCCGGCCTCAGCAACTCGGAGTTCAGACGCGGCCAGGTCACGGGCCAGGTCAGCCCGAGGCGTGCCGGTCGGCGCGATTGTGTCACGAGGCGTGATGACCCTCTTGAGAGCCCTTGCCGCCGCAGCTGCGGCTAATATGGCTGGCCGGCCGCGGCCACGAGATGGGCACTGTTAGAGATTGGCCGCTGAGGGTCATTCTGAACGCGCTGTCACGTCGTCGGCAGTCACGGATCCAGTGGAGGCGCGGCCTGGGTATGCCAGACACGTGGGCCGACCTGAAAGGCCGCCGGCGCTGAAGGGGAAACACGCTGGCCAGAGAGAGTGGTCCACCCCGAGCTCCATTATTATTTGAAAGGATTAGAGGGACTGGGGCTGTTGGAACTTCCGGGTGAGTAAGCCTCTTGTGCTCGGAGTTGGGAAGCTATATCTTGGTTCTCCCTGATCCTTTTCCTATCACTGTCGTCTTAACTGACTGAAGCGCAGGTGACTGGGAATGGGGCGTCTATATTTCAGCGCACCGCTCGGATTCCGGTGTAACATCCGCGCACGGAAGAAATAACGACTGAAAAGCTTCGGCATCTTCTTGTAAAAGACTAAGCCAACTTGCGACGCGGTCATCCAAAGAAGCGCGCGCTGCCATTTGACCTGGGTTGGCCCCGTGCTGTCCTGGGTATCTGGTTCGTTGGCTCGGTAATGCAACACATCATGTGCATTACCCGAGCGGGGAACTCGCATAACTATGGTTATGCTACTAAAACATGGAAGCGACGCAGCATAATGCTGATATATATATAGCTGTAGCTGAAGTGAATCCGATTTGTATTGTGTGGAACGACGGACATTTTCTGGCCGTTTCTGACGGGGCCGTTTCTGGGGTCAGAGTCAGCCCGGTTCTCCTAACATAGAAACGGCCGTCTCGTCTCTTTCCTCTTGTGATCGCCGCAAACCAGGGGTGATTGTCAACCAACAACGATTTGTTTTAATTTGATTGGGATATCTGCTGCAAGTCCTGCATTGTTACAAGCTCAAAATCATATTCGCAACTGTTGCCGTTGCGCCCTCAAATGTTGACCCGTTTTGCTCCAACAAAAATAACATCAAACGTAAAGAGTACTGCAAATACATGCCAAACAATTCTTGGGTCTTCGCTACGACTACTATGCTCATATTTCCTTGGCTTTAACGACAAAAGGCATGAGGCCTTACCATTTGCAAACATGGCATATGGATATGTACCGCTGAGCGTGAAGAACATTGTGGGGACGGAAGGAAGACGAATACGTATTCAGAACTTTATCACCGGTGGTCCCTGCGGTTATTATATTCTCTCATCTTGCTGCCCGACATCGGTAAAGTTTTGAACCTCGGCTGCGTCCTATTATTGTTGTGACGTGGTTTGCCGCTCCACCTGGCCGTGCTCTGCAGCGCCAGCAGCGGTCTGGTCGCTGCAGTCATCCATTACATGATTATAACTGACGCCAACTGCTTTCAGCCGTGACTGGGGACACTGCCTGGATGACCAGCCCACCGACCATGAGTATAGCTACCCCCAGGTAACGGTGGACGGGACGCTTGTTCCGCGGTGAATATTTTGCCTCGCAGTACTGATATTTGGAAACCTTCCTTGGGAGAAAGGCACGATTTTGACGAAGCACGCTTTCTTTCTAACTCTGTTTTGCTTTACTTCGTTTTAGTCGGCCTGCTCCCTCCAAAAATTAAAGATGGGAGCTCTTTATCTTTTGGTTCGTTGTCTTTCACTTACACTTTCCCCGTCGTTACACAGTATTTCAGTCAAGTGCGATGAGTGAGCCAGTCACTCCCTGCAGTTGGAGACACAGATGGCCGCTTCTGCCAGTGTTGTCTGACTGTGACCTTTACCCCAAGCTCTGTCGGAAAAGCGACACCAGCCGAGTAGCTCCCATGCACTACTATGTTAATTTACCTATTTGGCAGCCTATCACATTCGCCTCCGGTCGTAATGTGGCACAAGCGGTAATGCTTCGAATGCTGGGAAAGGGCAACGACAATCCAAATACAGCAACGTTCAATCTGAGCCTTGACCTCGACATGACCGCTGACCTGGCGACTGCCGGCAGGTGCCGCCGGGAGCCCTTTACAACGCCGACCACCAGTGCAAGCTACTTTACGGTCCGCCGCCTCCCACTGCGATATGGGCAACGTGTGCGAGACGCTGTGGTGCCGCGTGCAGGGTCGCTGCGTGACGGAGCTGGAGCCCGCCGCCGAGGGGACCAGGTGCACGCCGCTGGACGGCGGCCCGCTGGCCAACATCAGCACGGTTGGTGATGCTCATGATCCTCGGCCGGTGAGGTGTGCATGCTCCATCTAGGCGCTCTGAATGTATGTACGCACACGAGATTGTATGGCGGACAAGCCAGTCGGCGGTTGGATGCTGTCTGCAGACGCGGGCGGATTCCCTAGTGGGCTAGGGGATCATGTTGGGAAAGAAAGTGCGTGTTTGTTACTGGCACTGCCAGGGCCCTGTTCATGCGCCGCGCGCGCCGTGAACGAAAAATCTGGCTTTGTCCCCTGTTCAGTGGCTACACGCGACGCGCGCTCGCAGTACTGGCCGGTCCGTTCAAATTTCGGTTTTGTTCACGGTGTTGCCCGTCGCATTTGTCGAAGAGGTTTTACCGGTTGTACTCGTTCATATGCAATGTGCTCATTTTATTGACTTCCAAAGTGGGAACGCATAAAATGACATTTCCATTTGGGTTTTAAAATGGCACACTATGGCACAGAAGCAATCTGGAGGATGTGGGAAGAGTTACTTGGCTAGAGATATATGAGAGAAACCTTATGACCATGATCTCCTAAAATGGATAGGTGAATAAACGAGGACTTTGTGGCGATCACACGTCATTCGCTTCACCCATATGGGTGCAGCCATAATTTCTGGGCGTCGCGGCTGCTCCTGACCGTACGTACTGCACGCAGGTACCTCAGTGCAAATTAAAGGGATGCCGCTTTAGATAGCACGATTTCTGTGCTAACTAAATGTGCTCCTCGATACGTCATTGCTTGATTATGTCATCATACTTAACGCCATCGTACTTTACCTGTAAACGAATATCATAGTGTTTGCAAGCACGTGTTTGTCACGACAGCTGGGAAGATGTAAACAGAAAGCGTGCCACGGTACGAACACGTCCGGCAAAGATTCTTCTTGACGTCATGTAGAATAGAACATTCTTGGTGCGCTGGGAATAACACCCCAAATCTTGTTAACTTTTTTCCACCAGTCAGTATTTGCGCGAGCGTCGCGCGCGCAGCAAATGCACAGGGCCCTGGTATTGCAGACTAGGATGAGGCGCTCTTCTGTCAGCTATATGTTGATGCTGCGGTGGAGCCTGACAGCGCCAGCCTGTCTGACGTGGCTGCGCCCGCGCCCTCCGTGCGCTGCAGTGGTGCTCAGCCGGCGACTGTGTGGAGATGCGCAGCCGGCCGCGCGCCGTGGACGGCCGCTGGGGCGACTGGGGCGCCTGGGGCGCCTGCAGCCGCTCCTGCGGCACCGGCGTGCAGAGTTCGGTGCGCCACTGCGACCAGCCGGTGCCGGCCAACGGCGGCAAGTACTGCGTCGGCGAGAGGCGCCGCTACCGCACCTGCTCGGCTGAGGTACATGCTGGCGCTGATGCCGGCCACCGCACGAGACGGCGGTGTCGCGGGATCGGGCTCGGGTTGGTGCTGGCGGTGATGGTGTGGGCCGATCGGCGGTGTCGCGGGATCGGGCTCGGGTTGGTGCTGGCGGTGATGGTGTGGGCCGATCGGCGGTGTCGCGGGATCGGGCTCGGGTTGGTGCTGGCGGTGATGGTGTGGGCCGACCGGCGGTGTCGCGGGATCGGGCTCGGGTTGGTGCTAGCGGTGATGGTGTGGGAGCGCTCATGGACTTCATTCGAGTCACTGGGGCTGTGGTTTATTGCGATCGATGGTCGACTGATAAAGGTCACGTTGTGATGATACGGCTGCTTAGTCAGAGCACTGCGCTCCTCCACTTTTGGGAGCAATTGAGTTGTATGCGATCTATTTACTACCCTTTGCTTTTGCGGGTCATATGTGACATTTCTGGTTGTATGGGGTCATCAGATCGGTAACTTCATCTCATAGTCCAGCTGTACTATTGGCATTGGCAAATGCATTCTTGGAATTAACGTGGCGTTCCTCCTCATCCGTACAATGCACTTCACGGGATATATGGAGTTGGGTAACACCTGACTAACCTATGACCTACGGCTTTGATATCTATAACAGCTGGGACTATGGCCTGCATTCTGCCTAAGCGCCGTACTATTGTGTGGAGACTTCTTACACTTGTTGAAGCAAGTTACAGGTCCGTAACTCTGCACTGCAATGACTTCAATGCCGCTGATTTTAGAGCGGGTCGTACTACTGGCTCACCAATGACCCTGATGCTTTGCCCTAAGATAGGCGCTCTTGCTCTAGCTAGTTAGGCGTACTTGTGTCGCCTCGCGACTGTACCAGGATCGCCAGCGCTTGTCTGGGAGATCGCCCCCGCTGAGAGGCCGATTTCTTCGCTCAAGATGTTGCCACAACGTTATGGACCGGTGTTGACCACTGTCAATGTCTTCTCACTGGGCCGCAGGCGTGTCCGGAGGAAGGTGTCACGTTTCGGGCGCAGCAGTGCGCCGCGTTTGACTCCGTGCCGTACCAGGGCCAGAACTATACGTGGACGCCCGTCTACGACCATGGTGAGCCGAAGGAGGCGGAAATAGACGTCCGTGCTCTGGCCCTGCCATCCACTCAGCAGACCAAATTTGAAGTCAGCCAGTCATTCATCCAGACGCTGTGAAAAAGGGCGTCGTAGTCGGGATCTTAACAGAATCTGAACGGGGTCGACAGCTCTGCTGGAGCTGTTTCCAGAGATCGCCGCACCCAGCCCACCTACCCATCTCGCGTCAGCTGATCGTGTGAAGCCGGCGCTCGCAGACTGCCCCATGTAGCGGTGCCGGGCCTGTAACTTGCGGCCCTGTGCACGCCGGCGGCGGTGACCTGTGACATGGTGCCTGACATGTAACCTGGTGATCTGACCTGTGGCATGGTGATCTGACCCATGATCCGGTGACATGACTTGTGACCTGGTGACCTGACCTATGACCTGATGACTTGATAACCTTATTTGCGACTGGTGACCTTATCTGTGACCTGGTGACCTGAGCCGTGCATGTTGACCTGACTGGTGACCTGACCTGTGACCTGGTGGTCTGACTTGTGACGTGGCGACCTGACCTGTGACCTAATGACCTGACCGACCTGCCCCCGTCCGGTAGCGGTACCCTGCCAGCTCACCTGCCGGCCGACCGAGCGCACTTCACAGCCGTGCTCTCCGACACGGTGGCCGACGGCACGCCGTGCCGGCTCGGCACGCACGACATCTGTATCAACGGCAAGTGCATGGTGAGTGTGACCGGCGACGGCAGCCGCGCCCGGCGTCAGGGCCCCGGCCATTGGGAATTTCACGCTGTCCAGTAAGAAACCCATATTGACAGCGTGAGTGTGTGAAGCTTCCAGCCTTTGTTCTGGTCTTCTTCGGGAGGCTGGGAAGGTCCATGAATGAAGGTCCATCAGGTCCAAGGAGTGAGAGAAGGTCCATCAGGTCCACGAGTGGTCCGGCCACAGCGCCTTGCCGCAATTAGTTCCGTAATGACATTGCTGGCTTTTTACGTCTTCCGCGAAGGTAGCGCAAGCAGAAAATCTCACTGGACGTGTGTCTTCCATCTGTTATCTTAATAATCCCTGAGGAAGCCAGCATTATTTCATTATGGAAATGTCGCTGGCACAGTGGTCGGGCCACTCAGAGACGTAGCGTCGGCCGCAGGTCTCGAGCAAGTGAATGGGAGCGTTGTGCTTTCTACGCACTTCATGGGAAATCACCCATCTTCTCTTAAAGGGAATGTCCGCAATGACTGATGTTTTCTACCAAGCTTTGTCTTGTTTAGCTTGGAAACAGCAGCGTCCCATTGAACCCCCCCCCCCCCCTCATGAGTTCGCGTTATGAAAACGAGCGAAAAAGGGCAAGCGTCAAATGAATGATTTGGTTTTGGCAGAAAGAGCTTCTGGGTGGTATGTATGGACACAGATACGCATACAGGCACATATTAATTTCCGCGCTCATTGGTGAGTGTATTCAAGTGCAATATTCCACAATGAATATGTAATATATAAGCACAATATCAGGTCCAAAATACAATAGATAATGGATAAGGTGTAAATGAAAAGCTAAAAAAATGGTCAGTAGTTTCCTGCAATAGTCGTTCTTCAATGTATGAATGCATTATGTTTTGTATTTTTTCAAATATTTTATGAAGGATAAGTAAGGTACAAAATATTTTGACAAGGAAACGATTGCGTGCACGCAATTTCATCGACATGCAATAGGTAAACCACATGTATCTATCTAGGAGCATATTAGGTTGACTATCAGCAATGTGCATCGGTTGAGTACGCTGGATGCTAGCTGCTCCATTATTGTTAACACCGGTGCTATGAGGATCAAGGCGGGTTTTAACGATCGTGCATTCAAGGATCAGTCATCTTGGATCATATTAAGGTTTGTAAGCGCTTCAAGCCCTCAAAGTAAGGTAAGCAAGCCCTGTGAGTGCTGTAAGTAGGCCCTGTAAATGTTGCATACTTATGAAATGAGTCGCTGCAGGCATATAGAAGTTCGGTCTGTTGCGTCTGCGTCAAAAATGCCACCAAATGTTTGAAATAAGTTTTGAAAAGTTTCAGTAGGAAGGTATCTTGCGTCAGATTTGTCATTAAAAACATGAATTTACTTATAGCCAGGAAACGGTAACGTTATCTACTCATGCACATTTACAAACATGTTTTTAGATCTATGCAAAACATTTATAGCCAAAAATCGCTGATAAGGATTAGTGAGTAACAAATAAACGTTGAAAAGTTTTTGAAAAGTTTTAAAAAGATCATACCACCGGCTAATGGCTACGGCTAGCTTGTCTATATGTTACAAGCGCTCTCTGACAATTTTCAGTTTCACTTAATCTTTACATTCCAGCCATTGCTCGCATGTTCTTGTATTGTCTGTTGGGTTTCTAACTGGCCTTAAGCATTGACATTGGTCGCCATTCTAAAGCCAGCGAACTTGAGCCGTTCCCGCCTTATCTGTTGGTCGCAGAGGCAGTAGATGATCCCATTGACCGGGCGTCGAAAAGACCGTCTTGAATAGACGGTGTGGGCAGCACCTATCGCTCCCTGTTTATGAGATGCTGTGTAGCTAGTTGATTGAGACAGTTGTTAAGTTAGAATGTGGTGCGCTGCGGTATTGCTTCCCGGTGCCTTCTGCTCTAGCCTGAAATAGTGGAAAAGTAGGGTGCCAGCAATAATGGGCAATAGAATGCGGTCGCGGAGACGCTGGTGGCAGAATGAATGTGTCTCCGTAGTACAAAATGTAAAGCTCACCTTTGTAACTGCACCGTATTGCACTACCGTGTTGCATTGATAGCATGACATGTTCGCACCGTTACTCTGTGCGCTAGCAGCGTGACACGTTATGTCGTTACATGCCCCTCTGCCAGAGAGCGGCACGGAGGCCTTACCGTGACAATCTGTGTTAAGACGATGCTCTGTGTGTCTGTGCTCAAACGCATGCCTCTGTTTCAAGTTTCAGTCACGAATCGTGTTTTGTTTGACACAATGCAAGAAGCTGGACATGGTTCCTAGATATTACGAAAATAAGACGTACTGTAATAACTTCAGAATAGCGCCCTACCTGAGTACGTGAACACAAATAAACGTCCTAAGCCCGCGGATAAACATGCGAGAGACTCACGAGAAAGGCCAAAACACGACCACATAACGATGCGTGGATCAGCAATAACCTCCAGCACCGTCCCCGCCACTTCTCAGGGGATTAGCGACAAGGGAGTGCTGGAGCTGAAATTTCGCACGGGCAGTTTGGCAGACCTCCAACACTGTTCGAACGTCCTATGACGCAATCAAACAATGACTTAGTGATGAGCCTATTTATTAAATAGATAAACTGTGATGCCTAGATCGGTCTTTTCCATCCACAAATATACAAATAATTAAAATCTAGCTTATTTCAACTTATCTGATGCTTGTTCCAACACCTTCAAATGTGAACATCCCCTTTATAGGGAATGTTTAACATGTAAAGATATTGAAGCAGGCATCGGATATAATTAAACAAGTTCACTTTTGAAGTGGAAAGGAGTGTTCCAGACAGCACAATTCTCTGCTTGGTAAATATGCTTCCCATTGCGTCACGGTTTGGTTAGGCCATCCTACCTTGCACAACCTTGATTGAGCCAATTGAAGGCCGTTATATCTGGAGATCGCTCTCGCGAACGTCAGGTATGAACGCTTCGATAATTATAACCTTTGGCCTTGTTTGCCGCATGGCTTGTGGAATGGCAAGGTTTGAGTGCTGACATTATAACGCCATGAATGCCAACGTGACTTTGAAATACTCCCCCGATATACCTTCTCCATTTTCGCGGGTGTGGAGCGCAGAAACTAGAGACCGTTAGGTCTTAGAAGGGCGTGATTATGGACAGGAACGAAAGGTTTTCAGGATGGCTATTTCAGTTCAGGACCCCATATAACAGTGGAACACTCCCTTTCACATTTTGCCATATTCTCATCACGCCATATCTTTCACATACTGTTTTTGCACAAGTGGAAGATGCAACGGGCTGTTACAACTTGTCAATGGGTGGTCAGGTTTTTTGTCTTAGCGTTAGGAGATTGTCTTTACTACGCTATTGCGCTTTTTCTACTTTTGAATTGTTTTAAGTTACCCTCTAGAGCATATTGGTGATTTTACAAGATCTGTGATGCACTTCGCATTTTGAGGCAAGTGGAGCGAAGAAGGAAAGCAAAACAAACCATTAACAAACATCGCGGTGGCTGGGTTGAATGCGACGAGCTCGTGTGGGTGAGGGGGTTATTTGGCCCCATAACGGTAAGAGATCTAGACAAACCAAATTCACATGACATATAGACATGTATTTGAGCTCACTCACCTCAATTCATTGTGTTCCTAGATCATAATCTTCAGGTCATGTTAGATCAAACAACGTTAAGCTCCAAATTGTTGGCCGAATTGCCCTCAAACCTCATCCAACCAGCTTTACCTTACATACCGCTTCAATGCAAAAGTCCATTGGTGTAAATTTCACCTAGGTGACCTTATTTCACGTTCATAAGGTCGCCTTTTCTGTTATATTTTCTGTCACTTTCACTTTATTTCTGTACTTCTGCTGCTGACAACTGTGAGATGCCGCGTCCGTGTAGTGATCCATTCTGACGACCTGTCCTAGCGTCCCACCCACTGCGGTGCCCTGTTCCGGCGTGTTGTCCACTGTGACGTTCTGTCCCGGCGCTGTTGTCCATTGTGACCCCTGTCCGGTGTGTTGTCCACTGCGACGTTCTGTCCCGGCGCTGTTGTCCATTGTGACCCCTGTCCCGGCGCTGTTGTCCACTGTGACGGCCTGTCCCGGCGCTGTTGTCCACGGTGACGGCCTGTCCCGGCGCTGTTGTCCACGGTGACGGCCTGTCCCGGCGCTGTTGTCCACGGTGACGGCCTGTCCCGGCGCTGTTGTCCACGGTGACGGCCTGTCCCGGCGCTGTTGTCCACGTGTGACGGCCTGTCCCGGCGCTGTTGTCCACGGTGACGGCCTGTCCCGGCGCTGTTGTCCACGGTGACGGCCTGTCCCGGCGCTGTGCCACTGTGATGGCCTGTCCCGGCGCTGTTGTCCATTCTAACGCCCTGTCCCGGCGGTTATCCTCTGTGACCCCTGCCCCGGTGCTGTTGTCCACTGTGACCCCTGCCCCAGCGGGGGACGCTGTGACGCCCTGTGACTGAAGTGTGCCGTCTGCAGGGCATCGGCTGTGACGGAGTGCTGGCGTCGGAGGCGAGGGCTGACCGCTGCGGCATGTGCCACGGCAACGGCAGCCTCTGTAACACCGTCAGGGACCTTCACCGCTAAGGGAGACGGTAGGTGGGCGGTCATCACCGCTGGTAGCGCGTCCGTTAGTTGCCCGGGTGCGGACTGGCCTGGGTAGGCGCGATGTCCTGTGTTTGCCCTTTTCAATGCCACTGCCGGTAACTGTTGGCATAAGACTGTTGAGTGTTGAGCTTTTGTGCGAGTGTTGAGTGGTGAGCCCTAGGGCTTGTGGTGCTTGGTTGGTTTGGCATGCCTATGTGGAGGTTACCCGAAGTGTTTTTATCACAGCTTTAAAAAAAATTCATTAACGCATAAGTGATGGCAACTGACGATTCGCCGTACTTGTTTATGTTGTAATTGATATGACCCAGCTAAACTTGCACGCTCAAAATACGCAACGCATATTTATGATGTGCTGAAGTTAAAACTACTAGGTCGTTCCTCCGTCCACATGATAAGACCTGGCTTGCAAAAATGTTTGCTCTACGCCGGTTCATATCATCCGCATGTTATCGTAGAAGTAAACTATACTATAGTGCTTTACTATAACGCATGTATAGACAAGTATATATATATATATATATATACATGTATACACGTTTCCACTCTATATGCCGGTTATGCCGGTTATATGGCTGGTGTCATAATTACTCCCCGTTTTGTTCAGGGCATGTCGTCGTTGGGATACCATCAGTAGTCTGTATTATCGTTGTGTCTGATATCTCCGCGTTTCTTCAGGATATGTGGTCGTCGCCGGCGTGCCAGCTGGCGCTCGCAACATCAAGGTAGAGGAGGGAAGCTGGGGCAGAAGACGGAAGTTTTCTGGCCGTCACTGGTACCAAGGACGATTCCGATTACCTGAACGCCAACTGGTAAGCCACGGCGCACGGGCCTGGCCGTGTCTACCGCCATGACGTTTTATGGTTCCTCTAACAGCAGTTTAAAAACATCTTGCAAAACGCTTGCAACGATGCACGTTTGCCTGTTCGTCAGCTGCATTTTGGGACCTTGACGATGCTACAGAGTACCACATATTGTGCCGCCAAATGAAGTGACCCCCCGGCCGCCCATTGTCTATCGGCTTGCGGTCGGCTGAAGAGCCAGCGTGGGACGTCAGGTGCAACACAGTACATTGTCTAGAGTGGCAGCAATATCGGGGTGACCCCAGGGGAGCTAGCTCTCACCGCCGCTCACGTGGTCAGTGACCTTTAGGCGATCAGAAGTTCAGATAATTACGTCAAGAACGTCGACGACGATATGGCTATTTGTGCCACCCCGCTGAGATTCCTCAGAACGGAAATGCTCGTCCAAGTAGTTTGGATGAACTTAGACCCAAATGTTCACATTGAATGCCTTTATGTCAACAGAAGTCCCTCAGGTCTCTCCAGGCGTTTTCAATGCCGCAAGGTTTGCGATCGGCACGCAACCCAAGACATCAAAACTGGCTGTCGGGGTATTATTTCCGTACCGTAGGTAATTCCAGTAAGAGTTATCTTCAGCCAGCACGTCAATAAGACGACCAGAGGCGCGGACCGAGAGTACCGCGCACTCTACGCTATGGACGGTTTTACCTACCTCCCAGGCACATTGGGGCCTAATCAACGAAGTTCCGGCAGCTCATTAAATACCTACATACGCTTAGTGCAGATCAGAGCGCGATCCTCATTCCAGAGGGACCTCGCATGTTTCAAGTGACTGATGAGCAGAACTGGGTCTTGTGTGAAGCACAAACATCGGCTGACAGCTGGAGAGTCTGTCAGTGTGTCAGTGGCAGGACCACCGCGGCATCTCACGTCGCAGCGCGACAAAATCCTGGTTGCCGTGTTCGGCATTGAAGTAAACCAGCATGCTTCAAGGGGAGCGTTACACATTTGTATAGGGTTCTGAGCTGAGATAGCCAATTTAAAGACCATTGAGTGCAGTTCACAGTCCTGTCCTTTTTAGGCTTAAAACCCTCTGGTTGCTGAGTTTGACGCGTGAACTTGTGCGGACTCTTTCATGCGGATTTTCAAGGTCATCCATGCATTAAGACGCCATAGAAACATCACACGAATGCCGCGACCTCGTTGGCCAAGACCGCAAAAAGTTACCCTCGAGATATTCGTGTCCGGCGCACATCAGCATGATTTCCGACACCGAGGACTTCAATTGGCTTTGGACCGGACCAATGTGTTCGTTTCGTACTAGTTTCGAACACGAATCACGTTCGTTACATCATAAGCATCATTAAGGACTCATATGAATGCCAAGAATGCGTGTTCTTGTCCTCTGACAAATACAAACAAGCCGGATTGCATAACAACATTTGTAGTTGTCATGACATACACGTCATTTTCCTAGCTCATGCTCTTGTAATAGAATGATAGTAAACATTTGTGTAGAGGTATGTGTTCAAATCAAAAACTCGCGCAACAAAAATAAGCTCGATGTAAATTGTTCATGGTGCTTTAGTCACTTTGCTGTGTCATTGACGCACGTACCTTTACATAGAGGAGGCCAAAGAATTGCAAAAACAAGCACCGCACAGGATACCTGTTACCGAGGTCACACAAACTTTGCAGCGCACACTTGAAAGCGCACGTGTTATTATGTTAAGCTCGGCGTTGTGACGTAATGGCGTATGGCACGTTCGCCTGGGCCTCGTGTATGCCGCATCATTAACTTATTCACAACAAAATGCCCGGGCTGGATTCGCTCAATCTGAGTCGTAATCAGCTCGACTTCATGTAATATACAGCATGTAAGAGCAAGGCAAAACGAGCGAATCAAACCGCTCGTTAGCTTAAGCTACCAATAGCAAGCCATACCTTTCAATTCGAAATGGTTCGACTAGGCTAAATCGTATTGCTGACGGCGACACCACAGTCCACTTATTTTCATCTGTACCGCTTTATATCCCCTCGACGTCCTTGAGAAGTGCACTTACGTCCAATGCACTCCGACTGGCTTGTGGGGAACATCGTCGTTGCCTGGGTCTGTTGATGTCAAGTTCAATAATGATGTCGATTTGTGGATCGTCCGTCACCACCAGGAAACTGGCAAACTACCGGTCATGCTTATTTTCGACCTATCGTTCTTCCTGGCTATACGTGTCAATGGAAGTGACAATGACTCAATCACATCCCCTCCACGAGCCAGCACTGTTTGTACTGAAGATGGCACATAGTGCCATTGACGGAGTGATCAACTAAGTCGTCTGCGCGGTGTATTGCTTGTGCTCCTGAGTGTCGACCCGTGATGATAAAGCCAGGGCGGAGAGAATATCGGTTATCTTGAAAAGAGCCTCGGAATCACACAGTACTTTGCTGAGTTTGCTGACATTTAGGAGTGTTCGGCGCGCAGAGCCGCCGTCGTTTGACGTGACGATTTTCTCTGATATCGGCCGATCTACCACCGAGCTCATCCTCTCTCCTAAACGTCTTTGTGCCATGTGTTTAGAAGCCACCGGCCAGGTCTTGACTGGCGGTCACATGATACACGGATGACGCACTCGAAAACAGCAATCCAAACACGCGTCGTCGAGGGACCAGACTGATAGTCTCCGTGCGTGCGGTGCGAGCTGATAACGTGTCCAGGCCATTCATCTCCCTCCGTGTTGCTCCGCACACAGAGTGAGACACAATGCTCTTGGCGTCAGAGCCGCGCCACCGCCGGGAAGAAGGCGCAAAGGAAATCAGCGGGTGCGATTTCCATGTACATTCGTTTGATACGAAAAGAGACGATGTGCGTTGGACAAATGGGACAATCGCGTCCAAGTTTAGCCTGATAAACGACTTCATATGATAGATCATATGAAGTCCATCGGGCGCACTATTGGTCACATCCCAGCACCGTTACGACTTTGTCCGACGCACTTTGGGTCATGACCTCTCTCTTGACTGAACTGTCGGCTATGTTGCCAGGTTTGTCCAGTGGAGTGGAGAGTACCGTGCCGGCGGCACTCTGCTCTTCTACTTCCGCGAAGATCAAAACGAGACCATCTTCATCCCTGGCCCCCTGAAGGAACCAATCGTTCTCAAGGTCAGAACGCCCGAGATCTGCGATGAAGTTCCGAATGTGTTTCGATGCGATCGCTGATTGTAATGGGATATCGGGCAAGTGAAAATTTGTTAACATAGATTATGATTTATCTAGTTGGAAAGCATGCTTGCACGCTCGGCTGGGCAGACGAATAGATCCTTCAAACCATACAACGTGGGGCTGTTGCCGGATAGAAACGCACTTGTCGTCACAAGACTGGCGCGTTGATAGGAAGGTCGATTCTGAGAGGTTTCGTTCAGTTTGCAGAAGCGTATGAAAGAGACGTGAAGGGATGTAAATAAAACGTGAATATGTAATGCATTGCCAGGCATTGCCATCTTAGCACATGCGTGGCCATCGCTTTTGCTTTAACCATCTGTGGGAAGAGGGTCGCATCATGCATCTCTTCTACCCTGTTACGCATACGCCCGAACCATTGCACTTTACGATGATGCTGTATGTTCAAGGTGGGGGAGGGGAGACGCGTGCTCCTGTCCCTCATCTTCCTTGTGTCCATGCCGGCCGAACATCTTCATAACTCCATCTTGTCTACCATGCTGTCGTATGCAGCGGACATAGCGCATCAGCCGACTTTACCGAAATGCAATATTGCACGATTGAAATTACATACACGATGCCTAGGATTGTTGCTGTTGGAAAGCTGTGCCTAGCAAGGTCAGTGCGCCTGCTGGACTTAACGTGGAGTGGCCCCATCCATTGTACTTGTTTTGGTGAGGAGCCCGGCCCGCCCCTGTTCTCGAGACCGCTCAAGCCGCGCGTTGGCTGCCCCCAGGCACTGCTGCAGGACAGCAGCACTCGGTGCGGTTCGAGTACACGGTGCCTGGCCACGAGGGTGCTGAGGCAGCGCAGGTGTTCTCGTGGAGGTACCAGGAGTGGTCCGAGTGTTCTGTCCACTGCGGTGGCGGCCGACAGGTAAGCGCTCGGCTCTGCGTGCCCGGCCATCTATGGGATTCGCTTGCTGTATTTGTGCGCGATGGCGTTGTGCGCGCAAGGTTTGGGAGCGGTGGGCTTTTCGAAACGCGTTTTTGAAATGGCGAGACATCACATTGTGGCAACAGAAATGCTGTGAAGCATGGCAGTCATTTGTTATGCTCTGCAGATTTCGGGTATCTTCAGGTATCATCATTATGCCGTTATCCACTGTCCATGATTATGATATAATGCGAAGGCTGTGTCCACGTGTCCACAAGATGGAGGTTCCGTGCAGCAAACAGTTTTTACATTTTAATTTTTAACGTTAGTCAAAGCACACAGTCGCTATGATTTATTTTACCTATGCGATACTACAGAATGGCCCAAACTTTGAAACCGGAATTCAGTGGCACATGCATTTGATTTGTTTGCTGCACTCGCCCATTTCAAACGTGCGAAGCTCTGCGATGTACACTTACATATCGCAAAAATCCGTTTATAGTGAGTGTTTTGTGTGATATAGATGCAGCGGTCACTCATAACTAATCAGCATTGCTTGACCTGAGTGGTACCATTATGTAGCAGGTCCGTAGATTATACTTGGTAGATGTGCGGAGTCATTGCATCGTAGTGATTTTCTGCAACCTTGTGGAAGATGAATCCGTACCTGTCTGACTCTGTCCACATTCTTTCAAAAGAATCCTGTTGCATTGTACCCGTTAATATCACTGTAGTCCGCCTCCGCGTTGTTGTTTTGGTTATCCACTCAGCCTCGGCGTCCCTCTGCCTCCTTCAGGTAGCTGGTTCCGTTCGTGCGTAACCTTCACGTGGTCCGCGTTGTAGTGGACCCGCTCCACTGTTCTATGTCATGTTCAGAGTGTGAGAAGGGTGTCTTCATGGTCCGTCGAACTGACCAGAACCTATTCAGCTGCGTCCGGGGAACCAGCGCGGCGTGCCGCAATCCACTGGGCATTAGGTCCCATGGGGCTGCGGGGCTTCGTCGAATGAGCTGTGGAAGAGCGGAGCTGAATGACTCCCTCCGTTCTTTGGCTGCTCCCAGCCGACCTGGTGCGGCCGTAATTGAACGTCCGTGGTGCGATTCACTTGCTGATGCCAGGTTTACGTACACCATCAACAAGCGGACCCTCAGACTACTCATTGTGGGTTGCGGTGCTAGCTTGATTTCTTAAACCTTCGCTCCGATTCGCCTTTTCCATAATCTTGAATGATAAGGGGGTCGATGTGGCCCCCCTGCGGTTTCCAAACCAAGAAAGATGGAGCCTCACCAAGAAGCGGCTTTCTTGCATCGAGATGTGATGATTGGTGATAACTTTTGTAATGTTAGGCCAGTGACAATTTCATTGTACCTGGTCAAAGTTTAATCGTCCTTGAAAATCGCACTGTTTTAGCTTTTCATGTTGTTAATATGTACGAAACCTTGCCACGCAGCCACTTGTAGCTTACACTGGTATATTTATTGTTTAATTTTGTACACATTGCTATGCAGTTGTCTTATGGTGTAGAACTCCGTTCGTGCATCAGATCGGACCTCCGCGCGCTCTCAGCGGGTTCGCCGGTTACCACCGACGCTCAAGCCGGCCGTGGATCATCGTGCAGTGTCCTTACAAAGGCGTCGGCACTTGGAAACCAGAAATGCTAGAGATACGTCCTTAGTGCCTAAACCCATAAATGCCGCATAGGCTTTCGAGCATTTGGGCGCGATTACATGGCATACTGGGTGGACATCCTCAGAAAATCTGAGGAGGTCGCATTGCGCCCCCTCCCCTTTCCTGTTTGGACGAATGTTAAGGATAAAATGAATGTATAAAATCAAGCTTCAGTGGTGGAAGGGGTTTTTATGTGCATATGCGTGTCCGCGTAACCCCTTTCACAGCCAAGTTCCACAGTAAATAAGTTTCGCTACCCATTGTTCCATCAATCTCTCCGTGGTGACTTGTTACACCTGCTGTGCCACACTGGTTCATATATTCTGCAGGCCGTAGCTAAGAGCGCTGCGCTTGGCTTGCAACCGGACCCGTGCAAGGCGAGCACAGCACAGAAGTCCGTGCTGTCCAGTTAGCTGTCGGCCCCGTTTTCAGACGTCTGACGCGGTCTGCATGGAGGACGAGGCAGGCCGGGTGGAGGACATCTACTGCTCCACCGACCGGCCAGAGACCAGGTCCAGACCCTGCAACACGGAGGACTGTCCTGCCCGGTACGGCCCAGTGTGGCAGGCGTGATGTGGCGTGGCGCTCGAACCAACGCTCGTGAACAAGAGCTTCGTAATGCATGGAAAAGGTTGTAAGGAAAGTTTTTCATTTTGTAATGTGTGAAGTTCTCAGTAAGTAATGTTCGTAAAGGATGTGACTCGCTCGTTTAAGAAGGGGTACGTAAAGGAGTTTGATAGCATAAGGTTCGTCACAAGAAATGTTCGTAATGGAAAAGTTTGTAAACAAGGACCCATAAGCTTACAAAATTTGAAGATATCCGGCACTGCTGAACTAATCCCAATCCCTCATGGCTTTACCTTATCACGCGATATATATATATATATATATATATAATATATATATATATATATAATATATTATATGAAGAACGTGGTCGAGGCGGCCTATTGGTTTGGGCTGCCACTGCCGCGGCAAATCTTAGGGATCGTGGCAGAATTTGCATTAGTCAGGTAGGGCATTACTCTTAAGATGAACTGTTAAACCTGGGATGTGGCCATTGTAGTCGGTGCGCTCCTAATCCAACTCGTTATCATCGTCAACTGTTTCTGGGACCGATATTGATCAACGTGATTTACGGGTTTCCATTAATGACCGCCTGTTGTTCAACTCATCAATATTTCTCATCCCCTGCTCTTTCGACGCTCCGGTCGAAATATGTTTGAGAAGTTGTTTCCCTTTGAGATCTGTCCATATCGCAAAATTCGAAAAAGTATTCCTTGAAGGCGACTTCCGTGGTCCTGGATATTGAAACTGGACCCGTAAACTGGCACCACTGGGTATGGGTCTCAGAACGGGCTCGTTGTTCGCGCCGACTGACACGAAAA